TTCGTCAAAGCCGCCAAGGACGGCTCGGCATCACGATGCACCGAGAAAAACATCTTCATGCTATCTCGGTCAAAAGCTTTGCGGACTTTGCACACATACACGATGCCGGACATGATGAGCGGGTCTGTCGACACTGCACGATGTTGCTCAACGGCCTGTCGGTCATCTGTGTTGAGAGCCTCGTCGTCCATTGCCACCCTCAACAGCGCCGCCCATATGAGTGACTGCACGTGTAAATCTGAAGAGCCGCTTATGTTGCATTGTAAAGCCCGCAACCGTACATTATCTGAAGATCTTTTGCCTCGAGCTCCCCCCGTTTATGAAGCTGTCCTGGGCCGCTCTCATAGGGCTGACGTGGCTTATCGATAGGGCGAGGCCTCGCGATCCTGCTTTGGTCCTCGACGAGCTCCAGGCTCTTCGACAGGAGGTGGCCAGGACGAGGGAGATAGTTTACGAGCTAGAGGCCACTTCGGGCAGCTTTGTTTGGCAACTCTGGGGTCAGGGCTGGTTACTTCGTCTTTCGGGCATTGCTGATTTGATCCTCCTTTACATCCTCCTTTCGGGCTGGTGGGGAAGGCGACACACTGCTCAGACGAGGATCGAAGAAAGAGAATCTCCAGCTTTGCCTTCAGGCAATTCAGTACGGGAGTCTCTGATCTCGGGAAGTTCGATGGAGGAACCTGAAGGTTCCGCTTCACCCCAAACCAGTCCGGCACGCAGACTGGCCAGACCCACTAGGCCCTCAGACTTGAGAAGATGGCAGACTTGACACTGGACATCAATGAGGTGCAGGTCTTGGTTCACTTTCCGGGGGATGCTAATGGTTTCTTTTGGCACCATAGGATACTCCTATATCGTATCGAGGGCGGGGAATGGCTCACCCTAACTCCCGACCACGACATCGTCCGGCACAACCTGACGAATCAGCGACACCGTGTATTAGATCGTGCTGCTCCTTTCCCCGGGGACATCGCTGTTGAGATTTATGCTCATGATCCTCTAGGTCGGGCTGCTTTGGCAAACTTTAAGCGACAAGCACAGATCCAGGCGGCGATCTTGGGAGAGGGCGCCCTACTTGACCCCGAGGTATTTCAGTGGGTTGTGTGCGAGCCGCACCGGCCCGACTTCGGTATGGTCGTCGATGCAGCGCTCCTTGGGAATGAGGCCACGGGATTGGCTTTCACGCTTAAGGGGGTGATCTTGAAAGACGGTGAAGAGGTCTTCGTGGAGCGCGTGGGGGTTGCAGCCATAGGTGATTGGAGACGGCAGCGAGGTTTAGAGACTGCCGATGTGCGATTATTGGGTGATCATCGCGACGCCTCGGGAAAGAAGGTTCTCGACTTGAAATCCGCTGTCTCCTTGATGAAGGCCCCGGCGGATGATGATTTCCCCATCGCAGGCACTCGAGCAGCGAAGGAATTTCACGAGAGTGTGGCATCATCTACGGGCAATTTCCTCAGTTACCACACCGAATGGCTAAGACTTTCCGGGGTGTCTAAGAAGCACAGCGCTGTCCATGTCCATCGAGCTCTTTGTGAAGGATTGCGACTCCTCCACTCCTTTGACCAGATCGACGCGAGCGCGGTGGCAATCGGAGAACACTTGACGCGATGGGCTATCCAGGTGGAGCTGGCCGTTGAGCGCAACCCGGCGCAACCCGACTACACCGGCCTGGACATCATCAGCGGGACGGCTCAACTACCAGATGGTCGGGCCGACACGGCTAAGTTCTCGGAGTGGGTTACGAGCCGTTTGAAAGAGCGAGCTTCGATCTGGAAGCAGGAGCGGCTCTTTATGCACGAGCGCCGCCAACTCCGAGGCAAAGGTCGTGATGGTGAGGAGGCTTCGAGTTCCGACGATGGAGGTGGCAAGGGAGCGAGGCGAAAGAAAAAGAAGAACAAAGACAAGAAGGACACCACAGACGCCGGCGCCAAGGGCGCTGGCGGCTCGAAGTGAAGATCACGATCTCCGGTGGGCTGGTGCCGGGGGCCTCGCCCTTTGCTCACCATGGAACCTCAGGCACTTTTTCGCGAATTCAAGTTGGGTCATATTTCTCTTCACAGGCGGCATGGTGATCCCTTCCCATTGCCGCGGCTTCCTTCTGAGAGACCTCGTGACCTTCAATCTTTGCATGGACGACTGCTTCAGCGAGTGGATGCCTCGGCTAGGTCTTTAAACCGACTCGCTGCAGTCCCTTTTGTTGCCAGCCCGGCCGAGAAGGAAATCCCCTGGACCAATGTACAGAACTGGATTATGAAGGATCTCCATCGGCGAATCAGCCTTTATGGAGACCCACCGGCCGATTTGGATGAGGACTCCGTCATGGCTGATTTAGGGCATCGCAGTAGCCTGTATGAGCAGGAGGCCAGACACCTAGCCCCCATGGACCTGGACCGGATTAAGATCCTCAAGAGGAGATTGGAGCCGACCGATGCCAAAACTTTGGCACCGCCGGAAGTGGTTGCTTACCTTCGGCATTTTGACGAGCTGGTGGAGCGCACCCCGAGCGAGTTGGCGGTGCTCCGCGAATGCGGAACCTTGGTGGAACCGTACTGGGACCCAAGCCTGAGGCGATCACGGACCAAAAGGTTGGAACTGTATCGAGCCTTGCACTCTGCTGGTCTCCTGGCCTTCCGGCGCAGGAGAAAGGCGCGGGTGGGGTTTTTCACAGTGCACAAAAAAGGTGGAGCCCAGCGCTTGATCGTGGATGCCAGGCAGGCCAACGCCTGTCACCGATCACCTCCGACAACTCGGCTGGCCACACCGGCGGGGATGATCAATTTGGATCTTTCGGCGCAGACTTTGGAGGCGGATGGGTTTGGGGGCACGTTTGGTGATCCGGAGATTTCGGCGGAGGCGGGGGATGTCGGCGATTGTTTCTACAACTTCCAGGTGCCTGAGCTCACGGCGTGGTTTGCCACTGATGATTCATTTTCAAGGGAGGAAATTCGACAACAACTCGGCTTCGACATCCCTGAGGTCTACGACGATTCCCTCGGCTATGAGACTCCTTTGGAAGAGAACGAGCGCGTGTATGCGGCATTTGGCGGCATACCCATGGGGTAGAGTTGGGCACTTTACGTGTCCAACGAAATCGTCAGTCACCAGGTGGCACAATCAAGCTCACGACCAGGCCGACTCAACGATGAAGAGATTCGCGACCGTCGTCCTCCTCCTCGGCTTCTCCCTGGACACACCGTGGTTGGCACCTATGTGGACAACGTACACACCTTCGGAGGTCAGGCGGGCGCCGCTGGCTCCCGTATGAACGCCATTGCCGAGAGATTCCGGTCCTTGGGGATTCCCTTTGAGGTGGACGGGGTGGAAAATCAACGATGGATGGATAGCCTCGGACTTCACTTGGACTTCCAGGGGCGCTGCACCGCCAGGTCCAAAAGCCAACGGGCCTGGCAGCTTTGGTTTGCCACCCGTGGCTTGCTCCGTCGGGGCCGAATCTCAGGACAACTTCTTCGGGTCTACCTGGGCTTGGCCAACTTCCATTTCCAGTTGATGCGACCGGCCTTATCCATCTTCTCTGCATGTTACCGCTTCGCGTCAGAGAATATTGATAGGCGCCGCCCTGTTTGGCCTTCAGTTCGTGAGGAGCTCAAGTTGACGCTGGGTCTCATCTTCTTGGTGGAGTATGACATGTCCGCCCCCTTTTGTGAGGAGGTCCATATCGGAGACTCTTCGGATAAAGGCTACGGTCTGACGGTTACCTCGGCTCGTCATGTCGAGCTACGCCGTGCTCTACTTCATCGTGAACAGTGGCGCTTCATCACCAGCGAGGAGCCCGACACACGCCCCATCCCCCAGGACGGGTTTGAACATGGACCCTTGGGTTTCCCGGGCAGTGCTCCCAATGCGGGGGTCGGGAGCCAGACGGCTTACGGCCGCGAGCTCAACCAGCGCATCGAGGAGGGATACAATAACCCGCTCTTTAAGCAGCGACGATCGCGACTCCTTGGATCACCGACTCCTTTGATGACCTCAGTGGTACAGGGACCTTCCATCCCGGCCTTGGCTCAGGAGTGGGATGATCCTCTTCGGTGGCATCTGGTGACCGCGGGACCTTGGCAACGACCTCGCGAGCACATAAACGTGAAGGAAGCTCGAGTGTGTTTGATGGGATTGCGGCGGCTCTGTCGGACGGCCCGCAATTGCGGCACTACAGCACTCACCCTGACGGACAGCATGGTGGCGTGTCTGGCGTTTGAAAAAGGCCGCAGTGGCTCGGGCGCTTTGAATGCCCTTTGCCGGCGGGCCGCAGCTTACTCCATCGGATGCCGGATCCAGTGGCGACTACGACATATCACCACCGACCGCAACGTAGCGGACGAACCTTCGCGAAGATGGGGACCTGATTTTGAGCGACCACACAAGACGACCCGGAAGCGGCACTCTCTGGATGATGCAACCCAGGGCGTCCATGTTGACGCTGGCCTTTTAGGACTGGGATCTACACCGTCTGCGAGTTCCAGCTGCTCTCCTTTGTCGACTTCGTGGCGGTCTCCTTCGGCAACTTCCTCTACTATTTCAGGGACGGCCCAGTCATTGACCTCGAGCACATCGTCAAGCCCTTTCCCGCTCTACTTCCTGGAGATCTTTTCGGGCACGGGGCGGCTGACACAGGCCGCTGCTGAAGCAGGAATGAAAGTCCTGCCCGATGTTGAGGTCGCCAAAGGTCACCAGTTTGACCTGCTTAGACCCTCTAGTCAGAAGATTGTGCTCGACCTCATCCGAGATGGGCGGGTATGGTGTGTGCATTTCGGCACCCCATGCACAGTGTGGAGCTCAGCTCGAACAACATCAAGCAGCTGGCCCGAGCTCGTGAAAAAGAAGCTCAGGGAGTCGCTCTGGCATTGTTCACGGCTCGTGCCATTCGGCTATGCTTGGCCACAAAGGTGCACTTCAGTCTGGAGAATCCCCGGAGTAGCAGGCTTTGGGATTTCGGACCTATCCGAGACCTCCTCAAGAATCCCGCCATGCACTTCTTTAGTTTCCATATGTGTGAGTGGGGCCAACCATTTAAAAAGCCCACGAGCTTGATGACGAGCCTTGAGATCCTGCGGACATTGAGTCGCACTTGCAGCCGAACACATGTACATGTCCCGCTTCGTGGCACTGAGAGGGTTGTGATTGAGGGCAAAGCTGTGACCAGAAACCGCACTATTGGCGCCGGGGCCTATCCTGAGTCATTGTGCGCAGCCTGGGCTCAACAGCTTAGGCGAATATGTCCGGGATGCGCTCTGGGAAGCGCGACCCCAGCCGACAAGGGTCACTTCCTAAATGGCCTTGAAAAAGCGGCGCTGCGAGTTCACCCAAGTAGTGCAACAACTTCCCGAAGAACTCTTCGCAGGACTCACGAGGACACGGACGGCGAGTTCCTCTTGGAAGCCAGGCGCTACCTTCGGACTCACCCGGTCGTCTTCGGCAACTTCACTGCCCGTGACCTCGCAAACCTCGTCGGGTACTTTGGCATCTCCGGCTGTGAAAGTGGACACCACGTCACGGCCCAAAGCACCAAAGTCCGCACTACTCCGGAAGGTGCAGCGCTACCTGCTCGACTCCAATTGCGAACCCTCAAGGTCACGCAAAAGACTCTGGACAGTTACCATCGCCACGTGCAGGACTTTGAAAGCTGGGCCAGATCCAAAGGGCTTCGAACCAATTTGAATAATTTGGATAAACGAGTGGTGAGGTACATGACGCAGCTAGCCCTCGAAGACGCTGTGCTCCCGTCGACCGGAGCCTACCTCGTCTTTGGACTTCAGATGTTGAAGTGCACAGGGCCCAAGGCAAGTTTTCTTCCAGAAGCAAAAGAGGCCCTGGCAGGTTGGCGAAAACTCTCCCCTGGTGGAATGAGATTGCCAGTGCCCGAAGAGTTTGTCTATGACTTCGCCTACTTGGCTCTGGACGAACAGCAACTGGAAATTGCTTTCGCAATGATTATTCAGTTGGACACTTACCTTCGTCCATCGGAATGCCTTGGACTTCGCCGGGCCCACATCGGCTTCCCAGCGGGAGACCGCTACAACAAGTGGTCCATCGTGGTGGCTCCCTTCGATTTGGGCACAGCTACCAAAACGGGAAAATATGATGACTCCGTGCTAGTTGCTGACAAATCAGACCGCGCCTGGCTCACAGAAGCCATGCAACTCTACATGGCAAAGACGACAGACGAGCTTTTCCCGTCCTTGACCTTGGCCAAATACGAAAAGTGGATGAAGCAAGCAGCCCCCAAGCTAGGCTACAAGTCTGCCTGTGTGATGCCCCACATCTTGAGGCATGCAGGGGCGTCCAATGATGCTTTCCATCGGCGACGGCCTTTGGCCGAGATTCAAAAACGAGGAAGATGGGAATCCAGAAAGAGCGTCACCAGATATGAAAAGCATGCGCTTCTGCTGAAACGGTGGGAGCAAGCTGACTCGAAGCGTGGGAACACCATTCGAGCCAGATCTCAGACCCTGCCGCGCCGCCTGCTGGCAGTGCTGCGAAAGCGGTGAGAACACCACAGAGAGGAGCGGAATGGGCAGTGCAACAGGCCATCGTTCTACGTATCGATGCCTTTGATACTGCATCTTCGGCGCAGATGTGCCATCGATGCTTCTTCTCTTTTCACCAAGCGTGTCTCCACAAACTTCGCAGGACACTGGCAGAGACCCACTCGACGTGGCAAAACGTTGGGTGGCATTGCTGTAGGCGTAGGAGATTTGTATGAGTGACTGCACGTGTAAATCTGAAGAGCCGCTTATGTTGCATTGTAAAGCCCGCAACTGTACATTATCTGAAGATCTTTTGCCTCCCGGGGCCCGTTGGGCGGCATTGCTGTAGGCGTAGGAGATTTGAGCATGTACATGAGGCTCTCCTGGTGGAGGTTCACACTTGCCCGACTGCGCGCCCTTAGCCTTGTCCGCATACTGCTTCGTGGCATTGAGCACGGCTTGGACGTACGGGCATGCTTTGGGGAGAAAGTGAACGTCACGAAGCAGGCAGCCTGGAGTTCTCTTACTGCAAGAGAGTTCTTGAGGCACAACCTTGCGATGAGATGTACGGCCTTTGCCATGTCCTTCTCGGTCCCCACAGCAACACGCTTCGCCATCGGTCTTGCAGCAGGAGGGCCAAGCTCCCAAGCATCCATTGTGAAGCAGTCGGGTTTCAAGCTACGTGGCTCACTACAGCTGCTCTTGGCGCCTGGGCCCAGCAACATGTTGGACCACATGGTCCCACAGTTGTGACAATTCTGTAAAAGCAACTGAGCAATATGGGCAAACGATGTCATTGGAGACACACACTCGCAAACATGCTTATGTTGTTTTGCGCAGCTTTATACATCTACACGCATACGTGCATGTTATATGTATACATGCACATACACGGAGTGTGCATACATACACACAGGCACACACGCTAGCATACCGACATATACGGACATGGAAAGTCAGTGTTTCCGTATAAACACTTACACGTACACACATAATATACCTGCAGTACCTACCTACCTGCCTGCCTGTCTGCCTACCTGCCTACCTGCCTACC